CCGTGCCCCCCTCCCCCAAAGCACAGTAGATTTTGTTTAATACCTATATAAATATTTGAATTTATAGCACACAAAAATCAATTTTCACCATTTTTATTAAAATATTATGATTTTGGTTATAAATAGTGTAAAAACATTTAAAAAGTTGTTAGAACATATAATTATGTATATTTTATCACACTAAAAAATACGATCATATTTGCCTGGCCCCTTAATCAAAATCGTTGGTTTCGCTCACTGTTCGTAGTTACCTCGTAAATTAATTAGGTTCATTCTACTTCCAAAAATATATGATAATCTCAAGATAAATGAGCATACCTAGACATATTATCAAGACATACAATGAAATGAGCAGTTTCGACTTGTAGGAAAGCAGGAAGTGGTCGTCGCTAAAGGCTAGTTTTATATACATGAAGGATAGTCAACCTTTATGTTTTGTCGTCAGATTTAGATCTTGGCCGTAGCACACATTGAAACACATTGAAATTAAAATCTGCGTAAAAAAACAGTAAGCCTTAGTATCAGCAATGGATCATACTCTAGTCCATGTAGTATCCACAACAAAATTTGGACCGCGAAAAACCCATCAGCAAATGTATGGCATTCGATGAAACTGAAAGTCATAAATGAAGTAGTGGTGTAGCAAGGAATCGATCGATAAGAGGCCTGGTTATAACAAAATTCTACAATGTATTTGCAGGAATTATGGAGTTGAAAGATCGAATGTCGGAAAGGTTATTTGTATGGAATGGACTCTGCACTACTTTGTAACACGTATAAGTCATGAGATCAGTGCACCTAACACACATACATGTAAGAAAAAGGTGTTTACTGTGTAATCTCCTACTTTATTCTAAAAGGAGTTCGATTTGTCCCAGTACAAAGCAAAGGGCATGATAATACTAGCCTAAAATGATTCGTGCGAGGGGCATAAAAACTTGATGCCGTGCTAACGAACTCGACAAAGAGTATATGCAGATGATTTCCTCCTGCAATGAAAATTATTGGCAATATTAGTATTAGTCTATATTTATGGTGATGAACAGCTTTGAGGTTTCGGTACAATAATCAGAGTTGTTGACAAAGGTTTGCACATACATTTGGAGGGTGCCTGTCTCTGTATCTGAATCAATCCTAACGTCGACTCTACTAAAAAAACGATCCACAGAGGACAGAGTGACTCATGTCGCTCCTTGGCGAGTCTACCCAAAAACGATCCACGGACGGACCGACTCGTATCGCTCAGTTCCAGTAGTATCGTAGAACCAAATCAAAGAGAGAAAACAAAAAAGTAGTATCGTAGAACCGGACGATCCTACGATTCATGTCGCGATTACTGAGTACTGACTACGTTGCCTAGAGCTACAAGCCTACAATACCAGAGACCATAGGAGAGTCAGGTAAGGAACCAAACTAGCCCCCCTAGTTATTCGCCAATAAAATAAAATCCTGTATTTGTCATCAGCCTCAACTGACCTACCTGTGTAACTGACAGTGGTGAATGCAGGATTAAGTAAAACTGCAACGACATGTAGAGAATTATTCAAAATTTATGCCCCCAACTATAAAAAGAAACAATGTGAATGCAACCATTTAATTGCATATCAAAAGCTCAAATACATCAACAGGTAACGAGTATCAAGAGTTGTACACATAAGATGACAACAGAGCAGTTATTCAAACTGATAAGAACAGTAGCAGGCAGGTACAATTGTACAAAGAGTACTAACAAACGATCTGTGACAAAAGACCATGGATTGATTCTTCATGACTCGGTAGGCTGCAGCTTATTTCAAAATACCGTCGGCAGCACAAAATTATGCAGAAGTAGGTGCAGTAACTCTTGGTCCTAACTCCAGCTTACTTCATGCGCGCAGATTACAGAAGATGAAACTTACCTGAAAATTCAACGTTTGCCATTACAATAAAATAGATACAAGTACAACTGAGGGAGAGAAGGTTGATAATAAAGTACCACCCTCTAATTATAGGATGTTTTAGCTCTTCTAGATACATAGCCTTTGCTATGCACCTAGATATATGATATGTCTAGATACATACGACCTATAAATTAGAACGGAGGGAGTATATCGTATTTGGTTCTTTGAATTCTACCTGTGAAAGCAATGCGGATCCTAAAATGAAATTCAACTCAGGCCTTCTTTGGATAATAGACATTGTTAAAAGCTAGTTTGAGAATTGTTAAGACTTAAGGCCTTGTTTGGTTGGGCTTTTGGCTTTGGCTTTTGGCCCCAAAAGCCAAAAGCCCAACCAAAGGGGCTGCTTTTGGATGGTGCTTTTTCAGAAGCAGCTGCTTTTCCGTAGTTCATTTTTGAAAGCTGGTTTGACCCTGCTTTTGGCTTTCTGCTTTTCGAAATTGGTGGAATAAAAAGCTCTTCCATAGTTGTTTCAAGAGAGATAAAGATAAAAGTTATATTTTATACTTGTTTAACCAAACAGCTTTCAGCTTTTCTACAGCTCACAGGCCACAGCAGCTTTTCCACAGCTCACAGCCCACAGCAGCTTTCTCCCACAGCCACAGCTCAACCAAACAGGGCCTTAGTTGGTGTAAAAGCTGACATGCTTGATCAGCTAGAGCTTTTATGGTACCTTTGCCTCTCACAAGCTGGTAAAAGCTGAAGCCCGTGACATTGCTACAATCTGGGTAGTTGGATTGTAAAAGTTGAGCTGTTTGGATCAGCTAGAGTTTTTAAAAGCCACAATCCGCAAATTCTAGCTGATCCAAACAGGACCTAAGTTTAACCCAATGATCTGGAATGGGAGGAACCCACAGTCAGACTCAAGTAAATGCTCGTTAGACACACGCCAGGTCATGCCATCATAGGATGAAGATCCAACCACAATCCTGCCCTCCAGTCATTTTGGGCAGTGTTTGGATCAGCTAGAGTTTTTAAAAGCCACAATCCGCAAATTCTAGCTGATCCAAACAGGACCTAAGTTTAATCCAATGATCTGGAATGGGAGGAGCTTACCCTCAAGTAAATGCTCGTTTGACACACGCCAGGTCATGCCATCATAGGATGAAGATCCAACCACAATCCTGCCCTCCAGTCATTTTGGGCAGTCTGCTCACTTGTGGATCTCTCCCCCACACACACACACACCACCACCACCACCACCACACACACACACAAAACCTGTCCTGCTGGTGCATTTCCTATCAACCTCTCCCTGCCAATCCAGTAGTTCGACACCGCTCCCAGAGTTCCCACCATCTCACCCAATCACCATAGTTGATCAGACCTGCAGCCCACAGCCTCCGCCTAAGGCCAGCATAAGTGAAAGACCCCAATCCCAAAAGCTCGCTGGTATCCAGCTGAGAAATTTGGAACTCACATGTTCACACGATAGACACAGGCTTTGGAGATTCAGGCTACTGAAACATAGGTTGCGTGGTCAGGAATACGTCATGATTGTTGACTGCCATAGCCAGCATTGAGGAAATGGAAACAGTAGGTACAAGATTTTTTTGTTAAAAAAAATAACGACTCCCAAGTTACCGAGGGCTTGTCACAATTTTGCAATCTGGTCATTAATTTTGTCAAATTATGGCTCAAGTCAGCTCTAGTTGATTTTATCATTACTGAATCAAGGTTGATTTTAAAACTTTGCCACCAGATTTTATTCATCTTTACAATGAGATATATGCAGATCCCCCAGATTGGCAGATTCCATGAAGAAAGTAACAAGAAATCCGAATTGATTAAAACTTTGCCACCAGATTTTATTCATCTCTACAGTGAAATATATGCAGATCCTCCAGGTATTCGACCAATAACCCAAAACAGGAACTTCCATCCCTACCCACCAGGATTTTCTGGTACAATTTGATTTGCTAGTAAAATTTTAGCAAGATGTCATGGGGCTGCAGATTCAATGGGACAGGCAAATACCTAGAATTTTGATTATTGCATTACCCTAAGGATAAAAAAATGTTTCCAATAACTGATTGCTATGATTGTTCTGATAAAGAAGGAAAATACTCTTTCTAGCAATGTAAATTAACACCTCATCTTTAAATCCCAAAATACTGAACCTCCTCTTCAAATTCCAAAAATATTGTAATTCTAATGAGAAATTTAAGTTAATGAACGAGGAAATTGGCTCATCCGACAACCATGTGGTTAGGAGTAGGAGAACAATCACAATTCTTGTACCAAATTAACTGCTTGAAACATTCAGTTATTGTGGACACCAATAAGCTATTCCAAGAACAAATATTAACCTAGAAGGCCAAAATACACATTATTATAAGTTTAAAAAAAACACATTATTATGGTTTCCTACATTATTATCCAGTTGCATCAGAGGTATTGGCTCTGGAGTTCTCTATTCTCATCAATGTCAATGGGGAGGTATGCCTCCAGCTCTCCACTGCCACTCCTAGACTCCTAGTTGAGCTCTGGTCTGAACTCCTTTTCCTCTTGTGGTCCAGTCTGATGGACTCTGTCTCAATTTTGCTGCTATGTTCTAAAACTTCATGTTCTGATTTCAGCTGTGGTACGAAATCTGATTAGTTTGTAGCTCTAATTTGATGCTTGATGTGATACGGTAGTTGAGGAATTTTCTGTCAATAGCTTAGTTCTCGGTTAATTTGCGCACCTGTTTCCTCCCCTTACCCAAATAATAACAGCTTACAGGGGGGGGTAAAATTACTTCCGTTTTCCTGTGAACAGAAGGTTTCAGGTGTAATTCCATTACAGGTGTAGAATAATCCAAAGTTTCCAAACATACCCTTACTGCACCAAAAATAGGTTCCTTATCAGCAAGTATTGGTCCCTAGTGTATGACTGCCATATAGTAAGTCACATACATGGAACTATCAAACACAGGTGACTAATATGAGCTCATTTTATCTCTGGACAACAATTACATGAAGACTAATCTAAGCACACACCAACATGTATCGGCAAGGCTCAATTTCATAGCTTGATATGCAGAGCAACGAAAACATGAAATACAATTATCTTACCTTTCCCTCATGCAGCAGCTTTCGACGCAATCATTCCTGTCTTCCGGGCATAGGCAAAGATCCCTCCCGCCTCAATTACCGGACCAGCATCACCAATTGGTTTCAGCTTGTACTCCTTGCCAGAGGTGTGGTTAATAAAAACGGAGTTACCAAGGTCCACGGTGACCACATCCCCTGTCTTGCACTCCTTACAGGCCCCAGCCTCCGTGAGCTCCAGAGGGTACACCTCTCCAGTGGCCACGGAGTTGCGGAAGAAGATGCGCGCGTAGCCCTCCGCGACGACGGCGCGTGCGCCGGCGGCCCCGAGCGCGACGGGCGCGTGCTCGCGTGAGGAGCCGCACCCGAAGTTGGCCCCACCGACGATGACGGCGTAGCGCGAGGATTCCTCACCCGGGGCGACGAACGGCGTCGGGTAGGCCGCGGAAGGGAGGCCCGCGAAGGCGAAGGAGCCGAGCTTGCGGTACTCGTCGGGCTTGGAGGGCACCAGGGTGAGGTGCTCGGCGGGGATGATCTGGTCGGTGTCGATGTTATCGCCCACCACAAAGCACTCGCCGTGGAAAACGGCAGACGACGGGGAGCTGCTGCCCGCCGCGGCAGCGGCGGCCGCGGGGACGATGGGCCCAGCGCGGCGGCATTTCAGTGAGTGGAGGCGGTGACGGGTGAGCTGGGTGCGCCGGAGAAACGCACTGGTTGGAGCTTGGATGGGGGCTACAAGCGCCGCCGTGGACACCGCCGTCGCCGACGGAGCCGCCGCCATGATTGGGGAAATGAAATCAGGGGTGGGTCTAGGGCAAGGGCTCGAACGGATCGAATGCTTCAACACTAGCTTACGGCTGAAGGCCCATTATACATTGAGCTGCGTAATTTTCGTAAGCGCCACGAAATAAAGCCACGTCGGCCCAGCCCGCATTGACAAGTACGTGCGTACTAAAAGTTTCCGTGAACGCCACGGAACTGTCAGGCGTCCGTCAACCAAAAGAAAATTTTCTTCTTCACTAAATGAGTGTCCTTGCGTTCCTACGGCTTTCAAAATCAATAGAATCATATGTATTTTTCAGCCAATAACACATAAAAGAATGTCTTGTGTGCATGATAATTTTGATTAAGTATAGGCATGGGTAACCGAAATATTTTGTATGGTCAAGCACAGCTTAGTTCACTTCAGCTAAGGCAATGATTAATAGTCTACCATGCCCACCCTAGCCGTTTAGATTGCAGTGGAGATTATCATCTTTGTGAACCGCAAACCTTTCAGATCAACCTTCAACTTCAACAAAGGTAGTATAGAATTGGATTGCAATATACTCCATCCGTTCCAAATTACAAGTTGTTCTATATACATAACTTTTACTATGTATCTAAATATACATTATCTCTAGATAGAAAATCCAAAACTATTTACAATTTGAAATAGAGTGATACAATCTAAAAGGATCAAAATGCCCAAGAGGGGATGAATTGGGCTAATTCTAAATTTCTTTCAATAATTTAGCCCTACACTTAGCCCATTTTACCCCCTTTTTGCCTAAAAATGTTTCTATTGTTCTACCGCATAAAAGTTTTGCACCCTAGGTTCCAATCCTACTCTAGTATGACAATTCTAAGAATGTAAAGACATGAATTGAATTGCTCAAATGTAAATGCTCAAAGTAAAGAGAAGTAGAGGAACGCGCCGATGTTTTTCCGATGTATCGGAGAGTCGCCACTTCCCACTAGTCCTCGTTGGAGCACCCGCGCAAGGGTGTAGCTCCCCTCTTGATCCGCGCAAGGATCAATTGTTCTCTACGGGTTGATTTTTTGACACTCCGTCACGGTGAATCGCCCACAACCACTCACACCATGACTTAGGTCATCCACAAGTTCTAGCGGATGATCACCAAGTTTCCAATCACCATCAAGCTGTCTATGTGATGGCGATCACCAAGAGTAACAAGCACAAACTCTAACTTGACCAAGACAAGCCTAATGAGAAAGGTGGATGCACACTTGATACTCCATATGCACTAATGAGGTCCTTAATCTTGGATTATCAAATCTCAATCACCCCACTAATCTTTTCACTCCAAAGGTGTTTCTAAGTTGAACAAATAAGCAAGAGAACTCAATTGGACGAGTAGGATATGTATTTATACCTCCCCATTCAAAACATAATGGTTGGGGTCCAACTCAGCATTTTTCAGAGTGACCGAACGCGCAGGTCCATGTGACCGAACGCGCCGCCGGTCAGTAGACAACGGCTACATGGCGTCACCCTGTCAAAGAGGGCCGTTGGAGTGACCGGACGCAGAGGGGCATCCGATCCTCCAGGACCTGATGCGTCCAGTCCTTAAAATTCCTCTCCGGACCTTACTGATGTTGACCGAACGCTGCAAACACAGCATCCGATCATTCATTGTTCAACGTCCAATCCTTCATCAACACTGAGACCTAGCTGCTATGGTTGGTTGGCACCAGCGCGTCTGGTCCCAATCAATGCACAGCGTCCGGTCTCTCCTCGGCTTCTGCTGTGCGCGTTGAACACTGACCGGACGCAGCACCTGTGAGTCCGATCAACACTAAATCAGCATCCGGTCAATCATTTGACCCTCCATTCACTTTCAATTTAAAATCCTTTGTGAATGAATTTAACAAGTATGCACCACACCTAACCCATTAGACTCACCTAACTCAAGCCACTAGTTCATACCTCCCTTAATAGTACGTCCAAATGAAAAACAAAGTCCTCAACTATTCTAAGTATCTCTCCAACGCCAAACGACACTTAGAACTAGTTCGTTCTTAACCTTGTCATCCATCCTTTGAAAACCGAAACGATTTCCATCGATAGGGGCATGCAAACTATAATTGCCCAAACAATCATCATTACCATGACCTAACTCAAGTTGCCTCTGCAAAACACATGTTAGTTCACAGTAATCTCGTGTCATCATTAATCACTGAAACCCAACTAGGGACATAGATGCTTTCACAACCCAATTCACCTAAAAGTTTAGCATTCATCCACTAAATTTTTGTACCATAACCTAAATGACAATTACAACCTCATGAATAAGAAAATAGTTTTATAAAACTGTACAAGTCAGGAATCCACCTATGACAAACCTTATTGGCATTAGCAGATTGAACGAATAAAGATGATAGCGAACTGTATGCACGCCTGCTCCACCTTGGGCTCGACCTCCATCTTCCTAGCATAGGATGTACCCTTGAATCCCCTTACCTAGGTAGAGCATGCGTTCAAAGCGCTCACTACCTATAGGACAAGATCACTGGCTCCGGTAAGTACCAACAACACAAGCTTACATGAGGACAGAGAAATTTCTTGGATGATGACAAAGGAGAAGATGAAATCGATGCTAGGTGGGCTGAAAGAACCTTCTACACATAGTTGAGGCCAAGGACCAGCTTCTTCATTGAGTCCCGCAGTCGCTTTCCCAGCTTGGAACGAGGCACAAACACACCACTGCATGATGTCCACAAGAGCAGTTAATAAGCCATTAGAATCCTTGTAATATTGTAGACAGTAAAATACATGTATACTAAATCAGAACCGGGGGAATTATCTCTGAGAGTGTGGAGTTCGGACAATTATCGCCTAACCATCTGATCATTTCAGTAAAATTATAAATGATGTAGCAGGCAACTGAATTGAATTGATAGACAATCTCATTTTGGCTAAATGAGGTATGGACAGTAAAGAAACTAACTATTCAGAGAGTGTATGTCGCAGCACCTGACATTATCGGAAAGGAAGGATACATAAGGCTGAATTAGTATAGACTAATGGCAAACAATAATAAGTCTGAGATGCAGGGAAGCAAACAAGATCACACTGACATTCAATTTGCACAGTGAAGTCATAGCTTGCACAGTGACATTTTCAGAGAAGTCATAGCTTGCACAGTGATAATCAATTTTCAGAAAAAATATATAGAAGCTACAATATTCAGGTTCAGAAAGAATATTCAGGCTCACAGCATGCTAACAGCAATATCATGGTCACAGAAAAATTAATGGAATAGAAAAAATATAATACAGGCACAAACAAAAAAAAAAGCTAAAATATGATCAGAAACAATCTTTTTGTCAGGACTACCTACTAATCAACCCATCCTAACTCCAGCCGTTTCATCTGAGAATATATTTTAGTTTTCATTTGTCCTCGCTTGTGGCAAATGCTCAGGGAACCAAACACAAATCGGATTTATCAATTGAAAGTTAGTTGACGGCAGCCTAAAGTTCAGTAAGGTAGCAGCCCAAAGATCAGTACCAATTGCAAAAATGCAGGAAAAAAATGCTATAGAACCAGATGCCTGTGCTTCCTGAGTCTCAGCCTAAAATTAGCTGTTGAATGAGCAATTGCCACCATCTCTACGTTTATATGTTTAATAGGTTCTTTTGAGCTCTATACAACACTCAGATTTTAGAGCCATCACATTACATTGGCCTACTAAAATCCGAAACTTATACGAGTCAGCCTGGCCACTGCATATGCACAATTGCATGTAGGCTAACTAAAATGGACGAACATTTAATCATGAAACTGAAGGATGTAATGTCTGTACAGTCTCACTAACTAGAGTAGTATTTTGAAGGCAGAGAAAATAATACAGGCTGGCCAAAGAGGAAATCTCATGAACTCAATTTGAAGGTACAAATCCTCTGCTGTATGGGTCCTGGACGAACAAGCAGTTGAGTTAGTCTTGGGTCTCGGCGACAGTGTACCCCAACTTTCATTTTTATCTGCCACAGCAAGGGAGAAGAGCGGCAACGGCAGTAAAGAGTACTCAGCCAGGACAGTGGTGCACGTCGAAGAAATAAGAGAGTTTTAAATCTCTACTATATATAACATGTGGCCAGGCCTGAAAAGGAATTGGCCAGCAAAGGAACCGGACAGGAAAATACAAATATGAATGCTTAAGCAGGTAGATAGGAATATCGGAAGAACTGAAATTTCTGATTTTTTTGAAAGTTTGCTCCGATGAAAGTAGTCTATATATTTATACATTGATAACAAAAGTTATGAGATTTCTGAGCTATATAGTTTGGTTGACAAAGATATAAATTTTCATTATCCTTTGATCACTGCAACTCGACAAGGCTAATGCACCTGCATGTACTAACAGAAAATGACAGTTCTGAATTTATTTTGTCTGAATCTCTTACCTACGTCATTGTGTCAAGCTTCTTACTTTTTATCTATTCCTTCTGCTGCAATATAAGCGGGTTTGAGCAGAAATATTGTGGGTTGCACCAAAGTTTCATATGAGTATTTTTATCTGTTCCTTATGCATGTTATGTTATATTAACCTCTTGGCTCCTAAGTGAAACTATAGTTAGGCTACATATTTTTCCCAGAAGACATTACTGCTGCATATTTACATGTGGATGACCCTTTTCTTTGTGTTGCTCCGGTATGAGGTAAGACATAAGGCAGCTAATATAAAAGGCGTACTCAGTGCAGAGAGCTCCCGCTCTGTGCGAGGTCTGGGGAAAGGTGTTAGTGGCAATCCTTACCCTCGCCTGTGCAATGCGAGGAGACCACGACTCGAACCGGGACCTTCCGGTCACAGACGGTAAGACTCTACCGCTTGCACCAGGCTTGCCCTTCCTACGGCAGCTAATATGCTTTGTACAAAAGTTATTAGCCGCACTAACATTGCCAAATTGATATCTAACTGATAAGGCTAGGTTCCCTACAGAGATAAGTCTGAATATTAGCACACAACGGCTGGGAATGGCTGGCAGTATACAATT